ATGTGCTAGAAATACTGGTTTGTACATGATGAAATATTTATTTTAGTCCATTGCAAGTTCAAGAAATCTCCAGGGTATCTGGAATACAGAACTGCTCTTTGAGGGTAACTGGTGATGGGAGGTGAAGAAAGTTGATCCGTTTAGGTCCTTAGACCTCCCAGGAAATAACATGGAGGGCGGCGCTTTAGAGGGGAGGTGTGCAGACCTCGAAGTTCATTTTAAAAATGTCTCCCTGCTGCCCAGAGAGAGGAATTCAGGAAGATGGGAAGATTCAGAGCTGCACCCTCGACTCAGCTTTGACAATGCTGATCTTTGGGGATGAGATTCCAGCCTTCTGGTGCCAAAGCAGAGCCGGATTAAGGCCCATTGGTGCCCTGAGCACAGCCCTAAAAGGGGCCCCTCGGCCCTTCCCTTGCTTCACTGACAAAACGTTAAGACTCAAAAACTGCTGGAGGTGAAAGAAGAAATTCAGTATTCAGGTTTCCTCCAAGCCATTTCCCAGGCCGGACTCCACAACTATATTAAACTTTGAAAATGTATTCATTGATTTAATACTAAATAGCCGTAAGCAATATAAGTAAATTATTCACTTGGAAGTAGGGCAATAGAAAAGGGGCCATTTTCAACACTTTTAAGTCCACTCTTCCTTAAAATTGGCATAAGGGAAAAAATAAAGAAACAAAAGCATACAGAAAACTAGAGCCGAGGGTGGCAGTGAGAGAGTTCTGTGCATGATAGATGGGGGGAAAAAACTCTTTTCCACCCTTATTAAGAGCATGTGCAAGATTCCCTTCTCTTTTGCAAGAGATTACTCAGTAGAAAAAACCATTTAGCACCTATCCAAACCTAACCTTGAATCAGAGCTCTCAGATTTCCCGCCTCTCAACCTGAAAGGTGTATAAATTCTATACTTTTTTATCATTGAGGATCCCTCTTTCTTGAAAGCAGGCATCCAATGATCATTGCAATAAACATTGTTCTTCTCCTCTGCGGTGTGCTCCTGTCTTTGGCAAAAAAATCCACAATAACTTGATGGCACATAACCAGTTAATGAATCAATGAAATCCGTCAATGCTACTGGAGGGCCCTCAAGGCTGACTCCTACCTGATACTCCTGGAAAGCCTCCTCCAGAGGAATCACCCGGTGGTCCCTGTGCTCTCGGGATCGGTCGCAGA